AGTAGATATAAGCATTATACAGTAGATATAGCACTATAGAGTATATATAAGTATATACAGTAGATATAAGAACTATACAGTAGACATAAGCATTATACATATAAGAACTATAGAGTAGATATAAGCACTATAGAGCAGACATAAGTATTATACAGTAGATATAGCACTATAGAGTATATATAAGTATATACAGTAGATATAAGAACTATACAGTAGATATAAGCACTATAGAGCAGATGTAAGTATTATACAGTAGATATAGCACTATAGAGTATATATAAGTATATACAGTATATACAGTAGATATAAGCACTATAGAGCAGATATAAGTATTATACAGTAGATATAGCACTATAGAGTATATATAAGTATATACAGTAGATATAAGAACTATACAGTAGATATATAAGACATAAGCATTATACAGTAGATATAGCACTATAAAGTAGATATAAGTATTATACAGTAGATATAGCACTATAGCGTATATATAAGTATATACAGTAGATATAAGAACTATACAGTAGATATAGCATAAAGAGTATATATAAGTATATACAGTAGATATAAGAACTATACAGTAGATATAAGCACTATAGAGCAGATATAAGTATTATACAGTAGATATAGCACTATAGAGTATATATAAGTATATACAGTAGATATAAGAACTATACAGTAGATATAAGCACTATAGAGCAGATATAAGTATTATACAGTAGATATAGCACTATAGAGTATATATAAGTATATACAGTAGATATACTATACAATATAAGAATATAGTAGACATAAGCATTATACAGTAGATATAGCACTATAAAGTAGATATAAGTATTATACAGTAGATATAGCACTATAAAGTAGATATAAGTATTATACAGTTGATATAGCACTATACAGTAGATATAGCACTATAAAGTAGATATATATATAGTAGTACTATACAGTAGATATAGCACTATAAAGTAGATATAAGTATTATACAGTAGATATAGTACTATAGAGTATATATAAGAACTATAAAGTAGATATAAGTATTATACAGTAGATATAGCACTATACAGTAGATATAGCACTATAAAGTAGATATAAGAACTATACAGTAGATATAGCACTATAAAGTAGATATAAGAACTATACAGTAGATATAGCACTATAGAGTAGATATAAGAATATAGAGTAGATATAAGCACTATAGAGCAGATATAAGTATTATACAATAGATATAGCACTATAGAGTATATATAAGTATATACAGTAGATATAAGAACTATACAGTTGATATAAGCATATAGAGCAGATATAAGTATTATACAGTAGATATAGCACTATAGAGTATATATAAGTATATACAGTAGATATAAGAACTATACAGTAGATATAGCACTATAAAGTAGATATAAGAACTATACAGTAGATATAGCACTATAGAGTAGATATAAGAACTATAGAGTAGATATAAGCACTATAGAGCAGATATAAGTATTATACAGTAGATATAGCACTATAGAGTATATATAAGTATATACAGTAGATATAAGAACTATACAGTTGATATAAGCACTATAGAGCAGATATAAGTATTATACAGTAGATATAGCACTATAGAGTATATATAAGTATATACAGTAGATATAAGAACTATACAGTAGATATAAGCACTATAGAGCAGATATAAGTATTATACAGTAGATATAGCACTATAGAGTATATATAAGTATATACAGTAGATATAAGAACTATACAGTAGATATAAGAACTATACAGTAGACATAAGCATTATACAGTAGATATAGCACTATAAAGTAGATATAAGAACTATACAGTAGATATAGCACTATAGAGTAGATATAAGAACTATACAGTAGATATAGCACTATACAGTAGATATAAGAACTATAGAGTAGATATAAGAACTATACAGTAGATATAAGCACTATGGAGTAGATATAAGTATTATACAGTAGATATAGCACTATAGAGTATATATAAGTATACACAGTAGATATAAGAACTATACAGTAGACATAAGCATTATACAGTAGATATAGCACTATACAGTAGATATAAGAACTATACAGTAGATATAAGAAGTATACAGTAGATATAAGCACTATACAGTAGATATAAGCACTATACAGGATATATAAGCATTATACAGTAGATATAAGCACTATACAGGATATATAAGCACTATACATTAGATATAAGAACTACACAGTAGACATAAGAACTATACAGTAGACGTAAGAACTATACAGTAGACGTAAGAACTATACAGTAGATATAAGAACTATACAGTAGACAGTAGATATAAGATCTATAATGTAGATATAAGCACTTTACAGTAGATATGTATATATATGTTTGGAGACTGGCTTAATAAGTTATAAGAACTTGTGCCCAAGCCTTTTTCTCTCTTATCAAGGCAAATAAAAAACATTAAAATCAACTTGGACAGAGATGTGGATGCCAACTCTAGAAGCTAAACATGTGCTTATCATCTAAACAGCTTGCTGTCAATAACTCTTACCTAACTGATCTGTTAATTCATTGCTCAGTAATAAGCCCATCCCTAACATTAAGTTAGAGAAGTAATGTGATGACCTCCTGTACTTATGGCAGAATATATAAGGTAAAATATCATTAACTATTTACTCATTTTGAACCTCCCAACTGAAAAGCAATACCAGAGGACAATGATGAATGAATTCATAATGGTCTGACCTCACCAAGGACAAGGGTCACGAAAATTAGCAGGACAGACAAATAATTGGATCTGATCTCTGGTATATTGATGAATAATTCATGGAGATTTGTCTACAGGGAATTACACATCCACAACATCTCACTTTATTTGTATCTTTTGCATCGTTTATCTTGTTTGTGTATAGACAAAAATGTCAAGTAGAATAAATTAAAATTAAGTAGAATAAGGTGATATAATATTTCAGAAGAACACATACTCAGTAGAACTGATACAAAGATACTGTCTTTGGCACATTTTAAAAGATTACAAAGTGATGCACATGAACCTCCTTTTGAATATCCTTTTCTCTAAAATTATTACGAACACTGCACAGCAATCTCCCTGCATTAGTAACCAACCTTTGTTCCCAAAGAGAACCTTTCCAGGAAAAGCTTTCAACTTTATGGTTGCCATTAACATCTTATCAATCAAGACTCTATGGTAACAAAATAATGTTACCTTCTGAAAGCATATGATTACCAGTGAGATCCTATCAATTATTCCCAAGCAACAAAACATTGTTACCAACTTCATTTTTATGTAACACTTCTACAAGAAATACACAAGCAACCATTTTCTGTCAGTCAAGTCTTCAATTTGGTATATGCCATCATTTCATATTATCCTATTGTTTGAATAAATCTGAATGTGTACAGTGACAGGTTTGCCTCTGGGTGTAATTGGTTACTAGAAAGGCCAGTATGGGGACAGTCTCTAAGAGGACCGCTAGCTAATATCTGAAGAGAAATATATTGGTTTTCAATATAGAAGTGTGATGAATTAATAACACAAGATCCATGACTTAGTAAACTATCTCCAGGAACATTCACATTTTTTCAGATGTATATTTCATAAATCAGCGATGCCATCCCTGATTTGGTTAGCTGGTAGACAGAAAGTATTAATCCTGAGACTAGCCATGTCCCGTGTGTGTCAATATTTAACACCACAACAGGAAAGTGTCTTCCATATTCAGAAGCTGGCTTTATTGGCAATGTATTTTTTCCCAATATTACCACAAGGTATTCAGACATATGACAAAAGTTTATGATTTGAATGAAGGAATGGCATATTTTTTATCGATACTATATTTTCATAAAAATGATTTTCCTGGGGATCCTGGTAAAACTAAAAAATTCATCTGTTATGTTAGAGTATGGAATCCAGCTATAGAAGTCTGTCTGATACACGAGGACCTTAGTCTGACCCTTGCATTCTCCTGAGATCAGTTTTATGTGGTGCTGTGCAAGACTTCCTGTGTAGAAGATAGATGTGATAAATCTCTACACAGTTTGATGAACCAACTAACCCTACACCTGGTTTTAATCTACTTACATAAAAATACAATCTTTTTATATTGACATCTAATCTTCTTTATTTACACATTTTTATCTTTTTATCACATAATACATATAAACATGTTTATTAATTTGGATAAATACATAAAGACTTTACAACAAATAGGGAGATTTTAGAGTTCAGAAATTAAATTACATTAATAAATCTTAACATGATTTTTGAACATGATCAGCTAAAAATAAACCTATAACTTCTCTCTCTACTTCACGGACATGATACACAAATAAACATTTCTAAATAGTCATTCCTCAATAAACATGTACAGATTGTTGTGTGGAGGTGAATGTTTCCACTTCAGTTATGCTAATAGTCTAGACTGTCACTTTGTTGTCTGTAAGTTTTTTTTATCTAAATGTCCAGTCTGACTGAACATCCTCCTTGTATATTATAATACACTACTCTGTAGTACCTCAAGGTACTAACCTAAATCCACTCCAGGACTCTTACTTGACCTTCAACAATAGCTATATATACATACACACATACATATAAAGTCATATCTAATTTTATCACCAGTAAATGTTTTTCTTCCATTAATCACACTTGACAATACCATATCATCCAAATAGATAATGCTGGTACCTGTACATGTTGTTGTGAACAAATTGTTTCTTTCAATATACACTGCCTGCCAAGCATTTGTAGATCATCTCAAAAATTATTCTACTGTAAACAAACATGTGTCAGTGAATATGTTTACAAGTTTGAATTCAAACCATTGGTGCATGTAAATGATAATCTATATCTGACATCTTGGTATGTCTGCACTGCTTAGTTTACCTTTTTTCTTGCATGCACTGATAAGTAAAACACTGTAACACATATATGTTGTAGAAATAATCTTAGAGAAAATGGCCTAGGTTACCCAGAAGTAAGTAGTGTTACTTACTTGGTGTTTTTATTGGTTTTTTTTGCAGTCTTATGTAGCCCACATCACTAAAACAGGCCACTATTCTTCTGAACAGCCACGTAAATTCTTTATCTGAAAATAGCAAAGGTAGAAAAAATCTAAAACACCTAAACAGACTTACAAATTCTTGACCTGAAAACATAAAAAACGTTAAAAAAACCCCACAAAAAACAACTAAATCATGCTTGGTAGCAATTAAAGTTCATGTGGCTATGTAAGCACAGACTTATACCAAGTGATTAAGGTAAAGTAAAAGATGGACCTGATCACTGTGTACAGGCAATCTACACACCTATCTATATATAAGCACAAGAACTTCTCTACTGCTGGGGATTCCCATCCATAGAACTTTTATTTTAATATTAAGAAACATTTTGATAATTTTAAGTCTATAAAGCATGACAACTCTGACCTCTGATGCATGTTTCACCAGTACAACTTTAATGCCTGCTACAGATAGAGGTCTGGAAGACATCACATGGTGCTTTGATATACATATTACATAAACATTAGAAATTGTAGTTTTAGGCATGCCTTGTGATTAGTAAAATGTCAAGATAGAATGATACACAACTGCTGTTACTAATCACATGACAATGAATGATTGTAACAGTCGATGCTATATATAAACATGTATACAATATTTACATGCTTCTATATGGATTTGTAATTCTAGAATTTATATCAATATTAAAGTGCAACAAAATCTGTTTTTATATCCATACTGTAATGAATTAATATGATGTAGGATATACTTTGAATTCTGATTCCTGTATAATACTGACATACAGATATAATCATGGTTGTTATCTGTAGATATTGACATACCTAAAATCACACCAACATTACACAATACCATTACAAGCATTATGTATCACAGGTATCACTACATGACAAAACATGCAGGTGATATAAATAGGATCATATCACAAAACCAAAATTTGAAATAGGTACAAGGTCTATTGAAGCTACAGCTCAATTTGACAGGTGCCATTATAACTCCTGAGACAAAACTTGACTGTTAAATTGGGTAAGGGCTCCAATATAAAAATCACCAAAATTGTCAGTAATTAAATTGTGTAAGGACTTTATTTAAGCTACAGCTAAATTGGGTAACAACTCCTAGCTGTTGAATATGGTAAGGGCACCATTACAGCTACAGCTGTGACCACACTAATGACAGTTAAATTTGGTAAAGACTCCATTAAAACAAACAAATGTAGCCAAACCTATTAAATTACACAAGGACTACAATTAAAACTGAAACTGTGACCAAACCTGGCGGTTAAATTACATAAAGACTCAATTAAAACTGAAACTGTGACCAAACCTGGTGGTTAAATTACATAAAGACACAATTAAAACTGAAACTGTGACCAAACCTGGCGGTTAAATTACATAAAGACTCAATTAAAACTGAAACTGTGACCAAACCTGGCGGTTAAATTACATAAAGACACAATTAAAACTGAAACCGTGACCAAACCTGGCGGTTAAATTACATAAAGACTCAATTAAAACTGAAACTGTGACCAAACCTGGCGGTTAAATTACATAAAGACTCAATTAAAACTGAAACTGTGACCAAACCTGGCGGTTAAATTACATAAAGACACAATCAAAACTGAAACTGTGACCAAACCTGGTGGTTAAATTACACAAAGACTCAATTAAAACTGAAACTGTGACCAAACCTGATAGTTAAATTACACAAGGACTCCATTAAAACTGAAACTGTGACCAAACTTGGCAGTTAAATTGTGGTAAGGATTCCATTACATTAAAGCTACTACTGTGGCCAAACCTGGCAGTTATGTAAGAACTCCATTAACTCTTAAACTGTAGCCAAAACTGGCAGTTATATTGGGTAGATGGTATAACTATAGTGATGATACTTGGCAGTTAAGATATGTTAGGATAGCATATAACAGGGATTACAGACATGACAGATCGAAAAGGTGTTAATAGTAAGAAATAAATGTGTCCTGGGATCATAGAATGTCTCTTCCATTGATTTTCTGATTAAGAAGATAAAAAGCCTTTTAAAGTTTGACTAGACAGCATAGAGATGTACCACACATACATATTATACCTACTGTAGGTCAGTGTAGCTGGTCAGTGACAGGGCCATATTACAAATACTACAATTAGCTCAGTAATTACCTGTATACTGATGTAGATAGTGTAGTGGTCAGACTGACCAGATAATTAGTACAGAATGACCTAAACATATGTTACTGAGAAAAGATTGTTTACAGCTGGAGATTGGTTACAATGCCTTCTAGGTGAGCTAACATTGGCCCCAATCAAATCTACACAACACTGAGGCAATAAAGTAGTCACTGGAGGCCATAAACCACTTGATAACAAGATGCTAAGAGATTGAAAATGTCCCTGAAATATTGCACAACAAAATCACAAAACGAAGATCAATGAACCATAACAATGTAAAGTTACTCTCTGTCTCAGCATAATTGCTTTGTATTCATGGTATTAAATGTCAGATGATAGATTACAAACACAGGTTATACAGACAATAATATTCTTATGTTCTAAGATCTTAGATCTGATTTTCTAGAAATAATTATATAAGAAATTGATTTGTCCTTCACATCTCAACCAGATTGCTGCAAACAAACATCTCATCAATACTGTATGTGGGAATGTAGTTTCAAGTCCCTAGCAAGGATATGTCTGTCTGTAAGGTGTAATGTAAGTAGAACATCTGATGATGGACATATCCTTTCTTCTTTCAGACATAGACAAAACATCTTACCCTCACCAAGTAAGGTGAGTTATTTTGAGGTTCTAACAAGTTTTGACCACTGAGACCTTAAATATGGGTCAGGGTCAGACGGACGGATGGATGGATGGATGGAAGAAGCAGTGACTATATGCTCTCCCCTCAGGGAACATGAAAAGTCGAAGCTGGACAGACAGGTGTGCCAAAAATTAAAATCATCCAACCTACACCAACATGTGAACACAACATCTTACCCTCACCAAGGTGTGGACACAACATCTTACCCTCACCAAGGTCTGGACACATCATTTTATCCTCACCAAGGTGTGGACACAATAACTTACCCACACCAAGGCTTAAATTGAAAAGGAAATCTTATACCCGTACAAAACTGTGAACACAATATCTTTCCCTTACCAAGGTGTAGACACAACATCTTATCTTAATCAAGGATTTATGTCCACAATATGTCTTGATTGACTATAATAATTATGGAGCTTGGCATTATGTTATGGTATTTAATTTAGCTATATTATGAACTTTAAAACCATGAGGGAGAGATATAGTGAACCATAGTATACATATGGGTTACAGAGATATAATGATACGAGAGTAATTGGTTATATATGAGTTATCACGCTTGTAACAATACATCATAATACTATTGTAGATTATTTATAGAATAGGGTGCCACTTTTTATGTACTTTTGGGTATAAAAGTTTAAGATTATCACGCTGATGAAGACATAAAGATATACTCCGATGCTTTTGTGACTGATATTCTTTGCTTGATTATCCTAATCAAGGTGGGTACACATTTTACCCTTGACTGAGGTAGGAACATAACACAACATCTTACTATCAATATGTTGTAGACACCAGGTCTTACCCTCAACAACATGTAAAACATCATGTCCCCTTTAAAGTGTGGATAAAACATCTTGCCCTCATCTAGATGTAGACTGTACACAACATTTACCCAGCTAACCAAGCTTTGACCAAAACTTTCTCTTTCCTTCACCAAGCTAAGGATAAAACATCATATCATCACCAAGATGTGGACATGACATCTTAACCTCATCAAGGTATGAACATAACATCTTGCCCTCAACAAGGTGTGGATGCAACAACTTACCATACAAAACATTTTTCAAGATGTCAACATCTTCCTTATGAAAAAAAAAAACATCCTGATGTCTCAATATTTAGCCAAGACATATAAAATACTTCCCATGGATCCTCCAGATTGAATGTGTTCTATACAGAACTACCTAAAGTACTGAAATTCTTTATTGTATATAATACCGACAGTCCAATACCCTCTTTCTCTGTGGAGGCTAGGGTATTCTCAATATCATGTCTACCTTCACTTAAACACACATCTAGCAGGACTGGTAATGATGAACCATGTGTGCAATTTTATTTTGTACTCAGCTGTGTGAAATTGTATCATTTTATGTAAAATATACAATGTACAGATGTTCTCCTATTTCAATGTCACCTCTATTTAGTGTTGCCATGGTGAACTACGGTATCTGCATTTTTAACGTACCTATAGTTACATCTACTATAAAAGGAGTGATATCTAATCACATTAATTTTTATAATTTTTCACCAAAAATGTCACAATTAAAAAATAATTAAATCAGGGAAATAAAATGTTATTTATTTCTAGAAATTTAACATCTTCAAAATATGTTGTAAATTTGGTATGGTAAATTGAAATTTTTCTCTTTTCGTTATTATCTGTTAAGATATTGGATATCTTCCCTAATCATTCTCCAACTAGACTATGATATCATTGTTACCAGACAAGCACATTTTGTTTGTAGTATAGATATCATACACAGGTATTCAGGACATATTAAGCAGGAAATTAATAACTTTCAGAACATTTGATAGGTAAACAATCACAAAGGAACAGTTTTGTGCTGACCAATGCATTTAAGTATTTGTGTATGTGGTTCCTGCTTGTGACGCCTGTATAATGGTGAAGGGTTCATATAAATCTCCTTAAATATGATTCTGCATATGAAAGGTAGATCACCTGACTTCTCAGCCTCAGCTGAAGAGCCATAATGTACATGGTTTCATCTGTACCTCAGGAGTGGTTATATTTCTCAGAAATATGATATCAGAGGCCATCCTGTGAGGCTTTGAATGTATCCATGGGGAAGACATGTACCAGTAGATAACGCTGTGGATGGAAATGGACAAGCCTCATGCATGACCTTCAGTGAAGTATCCACCAGCTACTGCAAGGAGACCCTATCTCTAAATGACCCTAAGGCTGACTACAGGTGATAAATCCAACAAACAAACAAGGAAA